TGAGTCGGAATCAACTCGATGGCAACGGGTTTGGTTTTGGTTTAATATTACTTATAAGGAGCCCTATTGGCACAATAGGTAAGTGCTCAGCTGCTAACTGAAAGGTTGGTAGTTTGAACCCAACTAGTGTCTCTGCAGGAGAAAGGCCTGGCAAGCTGCTCCTGGAAAGATTACAGCCTAAAACATCCGTATGGAGCAGTTCTACTCTGTAACACGGGGTCACTATGAGTCAAAATTGACTCAATGGCACCCAACAACAACAATCACCACAATATTATATATTATCCTGAAATGACCCTGGGCTTAGTTATATAATTGGTCTCTTGCTATTATACCAGGATAGAATAAAATGAGTTTCCTACCCCAAAGAAACTTCCCATGTGTGTTTGTTAAAGCCTAACATTATATTCTGAGAGACTGATTTTTTTTTTCCTTTTTAGGGTAAGGCTTTGTTTTCTATTCAAGTGTAAACACTCTAAGGAAGAAAAAGGAAGTAAGGCTTATAAGTCATTTAACCCTTACTATGAATGAATTTGTTTGGTTTCCTTTTGAGACCAGGGTTTTAAAGGTCAAGGAAGGCACTATCCAAAGGGAAAGCAACACAGAAGAGTGCTGGGGGCCGGAAGGACAAGCCATACCTACTTCATGGTTTGCCCTGCAGTTTGAGGGACATAATTCTGAATCCACTTCATTTTGAGATGAATCAATTCAGTGATGCACACATAAACATTTAAAAAAATAAAGGATGAATTTCCTGCACGCAGGGAGCATTATTGTCTGGGTTGTGCTTCTTTATAAAAAAATCTTTTATTACTGGGAAAGTTTGGCTGGCCAAAAAGCCTCATTACCAAACAAGTTGATTAAAATGTTACAGATTTTGTATCTTTTTATGTTTTCAATTATGAAGCAATGCAAACTTCAATTGTGAGGCTTGACTCTTACTGCTTTTACTTGTATCTTTAGTTATCATGCTGTGTAATTTACTTATTTATGATGCTTTTTTTTTATTGCCTGTCTTCTCTGGAATTAAGCTTCTGGAAGGCCGCGACCTTTGCCTCCTTTGCTCACTGAGATTCTGCAAACACCTAGCAAGGCCTGGCACTTGGTAGAGGCTAGATAAATATTTGATGAATGACTAAATGAATAACTGTCTTTTCATGGATGCTTTTTAAAAAAACAATTGAAATTATAGATTTACTATAAAGCAATTTGGCTACATGATATTAAGCATCTGAAAATGTACTTAACCCTTGATCCAAAAATTCTTCTTTGGGTCTAAAGAAAATAAGGAGAGTTTATACACAAAGCTGTTCGAAGAAGTTTATTTATAATGAAAAAAATGGAAACAACCTCGAAATAGTTTAAATAAAGAAACTATTAAATTACAGCACATTCATAAACTGAAAAAAAGTGCATAGAATAAAACTTGTATTAAATTTGTTAAAACGTAAATAGCAGTTATTTATAGGTTTTAGAATTATACAATAAACTTTCATTGCTTTTAAAAACAGGGGAAAAAAAGGTAATTTTTAGGAAGATTTAATACTAGCACTTTCTCTAACAGAAGCCCTGGTGACACAAGGGTTAAGTGAAAGGTCAGTGGTTTGAACCCACCAGTGGCTCCTCAGGAGAAAAGACCTGGAAATGTGCTTCCATAGAGATTACAGCCTAGCAAACCCTCTGGGGCAGTTCTACTCTGTCGTATAGGGACACTATGAGTCAGAATCAACTTGAGGGCATCTAACAATAACAACACCTTTCTCTAACACACTTTCAGTGTTTCTCATTTTCTCATTTAATGTGTCTTACAAAAGAATTTGCACCAAGAGAAGAGTTTATGGTTCTTTCTTAGGCAACATGCTGATTTGAATAGATGTAACTTTTCAGGGATATTTTATTTTAACGAGTATTTTTTCCCCTTAAATTAATTTTCCCCTCCCTTGGGAAACCAACAAAGACTTTAAATTTAGACTTGTTGTAGGGTAGCTGTGGTGTTCCTATTCCCTTATAGCTGAGGTTTAAGACTTCTATCTTTAAAGATGAGATTTGTGGTCCTATATTTAATTTGTTGAACACTTTATTAAGCTATTCCTCTACTTTGATGTAATTAAAAAAAAAAATCAGTGAGATTGCTGTAGCGTTGGTGGGGGAAAATGCACAGTAATTTGAGTAAGAAAAATTGTGTCCTAATTTAGGTACTACTACTACCCACTAGTAGGAAACCCTTGGGCATAGTGGTCAAGTGCTACAGCTGTTAACCAAAAGGTCGGCAGTTCGAATCCACCAAGCACTCCTTGGAAACTCTATGGGACAGTTCTACTCTGTCCTGTAGGGTCGCTATGAGTTGGAATCGACTCAAGGCAACGGGTTTGGTTTACGGGACCCACTAGTAATAATAATCCGGGAAGCTGGACTATGTGAAGAAGAACGGGGCATCGGGATTGGGGGAAGATACATTAACAATTTGCGTTATGCAGACGATACAACCTTCCTTGCTGAAAGTGTAGAGGACTTGAAGCACTTACTGATGAAGATCAGAGGCCACAGCCTTCAGTATGGGTTACACCTCAACATCAAGAAAACAAAAATCCTCACAACCGGACCAATAAGCAACATCATGACAAACGGAGAAAAGACTGAAGTTGTCGAGGATTTCATTTTACTTAGATTCACAATCAATACCCATGGAAACAGCAGTCAAGAAATCAAAAGACGCATTGCACTGGGCAAATCTGCCCAAAAGACCTCTTTGAAGTGTTAAAAAGCAGAGACGTCACTTTGAGGACTAAGGTACGCCTGATCCAAGCCACGGTATTTTCAGTCGCCTCATATGCATGTGAAAGCTGGACAATGAATAAGACAGAAGAAGAACCGACGCCTTTGAATTATGGGGTTGGCGAAGAATATTGAATATACCACGGACTGTCAAAAGAATGATCAAATCTGTCTTGGAAGAAGTACAACCAGAACGCTCCTTAGAAGCAAAGATGGCAAGACTGTATCTCACGTACTTCGAACGTTATCATGCTTGGTAAATAGAGGGTCAGCAAAAAAGAGGAAGACCCTCAATGAGATGGACTGACACAGTGGCTACAACAGTGGGCTTAAACATAACAACGACTGTGAGGATGGTGCAGGACCAGGCAGTGTTCGTTCTATTGTACGTAAGGTCACTAGCAGTTGGAACCGACTCGCTGGTGCCTACTAACAACAACAACCCACTAGCATTGTGCTATTTAGGAAGTCATGCCTCAGTTTCTTCATTTGTAAATGGTGCTAATTATACAACCAAATACAGCTGATATGAAGATCAAACAAGTTTATACTTAGTAATACTTTGTGAATAGTGAGTAAATGTTAGTTATCAATTAGAATAATCTTGCTTTACAAGTCTAGATTTTATTAAAAAATAATTGGTTATCAACTAAATTCTGACTATTATAAAATACCATATAAGTCCTCAGATTTTGTTGCAATATCAACATAAGGCAAGATTGCTTAAAAATCCTGTTAAAAAAGAGAACTGATACATGGTATTGTGAATATCTTAATAATGTATTTCTGAGATTTGGGCATTAGGGGGCGCCAAAAACGCTTTGCCTCTAGCCTGCCTCTTCATTCCCTCTACTTATTAGGCAGGCATCAATAACTAAAATGTATGTCAAAGTGGTTTGAAAAACTTAAGACACAATTCCAAGATGTTATGTTATAATAGTGATGGTATCAAGAATACTGTGATTAAAATTAAATCCTTTAGTCCTGAAGATAAATTTTTTAATCTAGTGTATAAACTACCCAGAGGAGGGAGAAATGAGGCTATTATGGAATATTATGGCAATTCATTATGGAGTATTGAAGTCTATTTGGCTCTGAATTTATTCAATTACATGTGTGAATACATACAAATTTAAACTAATAATATTAGGGACAGGAAAATATCTAAGGATAAACAATAGAGCAGCTAGATTCTGACGCTGAGGAGAGAATTAATCCCATGTTTAAGGGTTTTAACTCCTTCTGATCGATTTGCATAGAGTAGGTAATCAATGTTTATTGATATTATTTGGTTTGTGGCTCATTTAGGAGAATATATTTTACCAGCATGGCCTAAAGGATTTAATGTAACTCTTGCATGAATTTTTCCTCATTAGAATAATATTTTGCAAAGCGAGGTCTTGGATTACATACACCTCAGAATCACCCAGGAGGTTTGTAAAAAACGCTGACACTTGAGCACCCCACCCTTCTGGCCTGTGGAATCAGACCATCTAGGAGCAGGGATGGGAACATGCATCTCAAGCAATCACCCCAAGCGGCTTTAATGCCCAGGAAAGTGAGGACCGTTACTTAAATTGTACCCAGTCTTAACAAAATCAAAACGAAATGACTATTTAATTATTACCACCTGCCCTAAAATAGCTTTGTCAGTGTTGCTAGACATTGTGGAGAAAAAATACTTAGAAGAGAGACAGACGACAAAAGAAAAGCCTAAGAAAATAAAATAAAGAAATGCACTCACCTGTTTTGGGTGTCGTATGGAAAAAGGGCGAACTCCACAACTGCCAGTACCTTTTACCTGTTTCTTGACATCTCACTTGAAATACATACTCAGTGTTTGGCTCCAAGTGGAATTCCGATCGCTGCATATATGTGAAATTGGTGTCAAATTCTTTAACCTAAAGTGGATGAATAATAATAACAAAATGATGCAGTGTGCTTCTAGAATTAATAATATTCCACTTAGCAGAAATCTATGGAGTACCCTCTACGTTCCAAGCACTCTTCTAGACCTTGGGAGAACAACAGGGAATAGACACTTTGTACAAAATACTACCACAAAAAAATCAAATTCACATTAATAAACATGAAAAGCGAAGTATGTATTGTTGGTATTTGATAATGCTGTCACGTTTTTAAGTCTCAAGAGAAGCCCAAAATATAATATACCCTTAATTTTTGAAAAGCTGATTTTAATGGAGTGGGGGCAAGGGACCTAATAGCAAGTGTTTGAATCACCGTCTCTCTCTCTGCAGTGGATCTTTAGATCAATATTTCTGCCTCTGTAATGAAATAATTTCACCTGCTAATGATTACTTTTGGAAAAAATTATTCACAAGCTAAGCTGTTAACCAAAAACCAAAAAAAAAAACAAACCTGTTGCTGTCGAGTCATAGTTACCCTATAGGACAGAGTAGAACTGCCCCATAAGATTTCCAAAGAGCAGCTGGTGGATTTGAACCGCTGACCTTCAGGTTAGCAGCCGAGCTCTTAACCACCATGTCCCCAGTATTCTAGATTTATGTTGATACTACAAGGCCTAACACAGATGCGTGTGTGAGAAAGAGGAAAACAGAACAAAACATTTAAGGATGTCGAACTGTGAGACTCCAACAGAAAAGAAGCAAGAAAATGGGTGAGGAAAAAAGCTATGATTGATTTTTCTGGGGCGATGTGCTATATAACCTGCTATAAAACATAATGCAAAACAACCCCAAGCTAGCTGGTTTAGTTGAGAAACAGAAACTAAGACATCTGCACAGCCCCTTCAGTAAGTTGTAGCAAGTGATTTACTGCAAAAAGGGAAGCAAGACTGAAAGGAAAATATAAAATACGTCTAGAAATGAATTTATACAGCAAACTACCAAGATTTAAAAACAAACAAACAACGTATCAACCTCACTCAGGGATTCTTCCTTTAAAAGCCAATCTTAACATAAATCTTTAACACATGCAATGCATTGAAGATATAAAATTCATGTAAATATTTGTGTAAGTTTTAGAAATGTCATATTCCCTGAAAGATATCATTCAGAGTCTCTGTAAGTCACATCTCTGCCCAGAGTGCTCAGAATTTTCTGTTTTGTAGATATGACTAGTCTGCATTTGGGGTCTCCTGGCATCCAGGAGAGTTTTTATTTATTGTGCCAAAGGTTTGACTTTTAAATGCACTCAACTTCATATTAGCTTTTCTTGTAAGGGAGTTGGTATTCTCCAATGGGACTCTTGGCAGTATGTTTACAGATAAGCCCTCAAGTACAGCCAGAATTTCAAAATAGAAAGAATTTTACAAAACTGTTAACAGAGTTGTTTCTACAGTAAGGCAAAGCAGGTGACTGCTTAGGACTTTGCAAGCACAAAAAAACCTCAAGATGATACCTTTGGAGGAAAAAATGAGCACTGAGAGAGCTAGACCATTGAATATGCTTCATTTCCATGAGTGAAGTTTCTGTAGTGAGACAAGCAAAACCTACATGTGTTTTCATTGTTTTTAAGGGTGAAATATATTTGGAGGCATTTCATCAGCAAAATCCACTAACTGGACACAGTTATTTACTTGTAGTAAATTTTTAAAATAGGTATTTCCTTTGTAAAATATAACTCATGTCCATTACTTCCACTGTAATAGTTACTAGCACAACCAGCATCATAGGTCAACACTGGGACAGTTAGGTGACAAATGAATTCAATCAAACTAAACTACTCAGTGACACCCTGATCCCATCAGCCATCCACCAGAGTTCTTTCCTAGTGTTGGCTACCAAGCAGAAAGGAAAATGCAGGAGTCACTGAAGGAAGCCAATGAAAAAGTACATTTCCTATGGTTAATGATTAATGGTTAGTAATGAGGAGTTTTAAAGAAAACAAAAATCCTCACAACTGGACCAATAAACAATATCATCATAAATGGAGAAAATATTGAAGTTGCAAGGATTTCATTTTATCTGGATCCACAGTCAACACTCATGGAAGCAGCAGTCAAGACATCAAATGACACATTGCATTGGGCAAATCTGCTGCAAAAGAACTCTTTAAAGTGTTAAAAAGCAAAGATGTCACTTTGAGGACTAAGGTGCATATGACCCAAGTCATGATATTTTCAACCACCTCATATGCATGAGAAAGCTGAACAATGAACAAGAAAGACTGAAGAAGAATTGATGCCTTTGAATTATGGTGTTGGAAAAGAATATTTAATATACCGTGGAATGCCAGAAGAAAGAACAAATCTGTCTTGGATGAAGTATAGCCAAGATGCTCCTTGGAAGCGAGGATGGTGAGACTTCATCTCATGTACTTTGAACATGTTATCAGGAGGGACCAGTCCCTGGAGAAGGATATTATGCTTGGTAAAATAGAGAGTCAGCAAAAAAGAGGAAGACCCTCAACAAGATAGACTGACACAGTGTCTGCAACAGTGGGCTCAAGCATAGCAACGATTGTGAGGATGGCATAGGACCAGGTAGTGTTTCGTTCTGTCGTACATAGGATTGTTATGAGTCAGAACTGACTTGACGGCATCTAACAACATCAACAACAAATGAGGCTGTAGCCATTAGGGGAAAAAGTCTCTAAACAAAAGATGGCCATGACAAGGGCAGAACCTGAATCAAGTTTTGTAAAAAAATTTTTTTAAAAATGATGAAAATTCACGAGGAGACAAGTTGCTTGCCTTAAAGTAGCTCTCCAGACCCCTTTCTGTGCTTGCTAATTGTTTGGGTGAGGGAGAGGGAGACTTCAAATGTTTCAACCTTGGGTGTCCCATCAAGCCCTCATTGAATGCCTATATGATTTCAACAGTTCAAGAAAGAGAACTATTTTTTATAGCAGTTAATTTCTATTTAAAGCCTCAATTCTGAAGAAGAGGGAGTATGGAAACATCTCTGTTCGTTTGAGGTACCTCTTTTCTTAGGGTTGCATCTAAGCTCTGGGGAGTATCCTTAGGTGGAGGGAATGAAAACCTCCAGCCTATCAAGGGAGTTCTATAATCCCTGCTTCCCCCTACTCCCAACCTGGGGCATGACCCAGGGTGAAGGGGCCCTTCTCAGTAACCCACCAGCATCTAAACTCTTTTGGTACTCCTCCCCACACTCCTCCTCTTTTGGTCCAGGTAGATTTTGTCTTACGTACTTTGTACATGTCATCAGGGAAGACCAATCATTAGAAAAGAAAATCATGGTTGGTAAAGTAGAGGGAAACCCTCAATGAAATAGATTGACACCATAGCCATAACTATAGACTCAAACAATCATGAAGATGGCGCAGGCCTGAGCAACGTTTCATTCTGTTATACGTAAGTCCCCATGAGCCAGAGTCAACTTGACAGCAACTGACAACAATCTATCTAACGTTTGGCAAGGGACAGAAGGGGAGTGGTGACTAGGAGGCTTAGTTGTGACTAATCATATGTTCTTCTAAATCTTTTGTCTTAAACTACTATTGAGACTTTTGAAACACAAAAGGCAAAGATTTGATCGTATCTGTCTGATGTTCTATCAATCCTTCCCTATAAAGGATGGATGCTTCACAGTCTAGCTCAGAGGTCTGCAAACTATGGCCTGTATAGTTTTCACATTTTTAAATGGTTGAAAGAAAATAATAATATTTCATGACTCATAGAATTTATATGAAATTCAAATTTCAGTGCCGAAAAATAAATTTTATTGGAACACAGTCACACTCATTCATTTACTTACTGTCTATGGCTCATTTCACAGTACAAACACAGAGCTGAGTAGCTGAGAGAGACCTATGGCCTGCAAAATCTAAAATGTTTACTATTTGGCCCTTTAAGAAAATGGTTGCCAAGCCCCTGGTCTAGCTTAATTGGAGAAATGAGTAATTACTAATCTTTTTTTTTTTTTTTTTGATTGTGGTTTAGGTGAAAGTTTACAAAGAAAATTAGTTTCTCATTAAACAATTAATACACATATTGTTTTGTGACATAGGTTGCTAACTCCGCGTACTGTCAACACTCTCCCCTTCTCAGCCTGGGATTCCACATTTCCATTCGTCCAGCTTTCCTGTCCCCTCCTGCCTTCTTGCCCTTGCCCCTAGGCTGGTGTGCCCACCTAGTCTCGTATAACGGTTGAACTACATGTGTTATTGTTTGTATTATAGGTCTGTCTATTCTTTGGCTGAAAGGTGAGCCTCTGAAGTGACTTCAGTACTGAGTTGAAAGGGTGTCCGGGGCCATACTCCAATATTTGTCAGACCAGTAAATCTGGCCTTTTTTTGTTCATTAGAATTTTGTTCTACATTTTTCTCCAGCTCTGTCCAGGACCCTCTGTTGTGATCCCTATCAGAACAGTCAGTGGTGCCAGCTGGGAACCATCTAGTTGTGCTGGACTCAGTCTGGTGGAGGTTATGGTAGTTGTGGTCCATTAGTCATTTGGACTAATCTTTCCCTTGTGTCTTTGGTTTTCTTCATTCTCCCTTGCTCCAGACAGGGTGGGACCAGTGGAGTATCTTAGATGGCTGCTCACAAGCTTTAAAGGCCCCAGAAGCTACTCACCAAAGTAGGATGCAGAACATGTTCTTTATAAATTGTGTTATGCCAATTGCGCCAGATGTCCCCTGAGACCACGGTCCCCATATTAATTTATTTACTTGAACTTTCAGCCTAGATTTCCTGGTTATACTATCACTGCTGTTGTGCACTATTAAAGGCAAATAACAATAATAATAGATAGTATTTCAAAATATTACCTACATTTACCCATCCACTGCTGTCAAGTCAATTCTGACTCATAGCAACCCTGTAGGACAGAGTAGAACTGCCTCATAGGGTTTCTTAGGCTGTAAATCTTTACGGAAGCAGAATGCCACATCTTTCTCCCAAGGAGTGGCTGGTGGGTTCAAACCACAAACCTTTCGGTTAGCAATCGAGCGCTTAACC